TATTAGATGAACAAATATAAAATAAAAAATTTTGTGAGCACAAAAAAAACTATACTTATCTTGATGAGCACTGAGTAATATATGGAATTGTCTAATTGCTATATTGTACACCTGAAACTAATACGACACTATTTTAACTGCACTGGAATTAAAATAATTTTTTTTCTAATTCTCAAGGAAATTTATAAAATTTAAAAGCCCATTATTTTTATCTTTACTGATTTTTTAAATGGTTAGGAAAGCGAGTGGTACTAATGAAGAAATTTCCTCTGGATGGGGAGAAGATGGGCAGAGAAGCAGCATTATTTATTGTTCCATCAGTTGTCAAAGGTAAAGTCTAAGTTTTATGAATCTTTATGTACTTTTGATGCTAAGTTAAAGTCTACTGAGGAATTTAGTAACTCACATTCATAGTTACTACTATAGTACTGTTTTAAAATACCTATTTTTCAGTTAGTAGTTAAGATGAGGAAATTTATTACTTAAAAAAAGGTATTTTGATTTCAAAGTAATATTCAGCCTTCTGGACTAAACAGTAATGTTCTTATTTCTGGTTTTAAAAGTAGAATAAAGAAGTGAGGAGGGAAGCCATAATTGAAATTAAAAATTTTCAGGTTATAATAAGGGATTTTTCAAAGGATATGACTAGAAATAGATATTTCAGTATTTTAGAACATTAACAGACTATGATCAGGACCTATCTGGTATTTGGCACAAGAAGGTATTAATAATAGTTCTAAAATACTCTGCCTGACAGCATTGGTAATATATAAAAAATCTAATGTAAAAATTTCATTTGAGCCTTTGACATCCTGGAATAATTGAAAAATACTAAATTTCAGTGCAGACCTTTCAGCCTACTAATTTTGTGCCTTTGGACAAATCACCTCTTTAAGCCTCAGCTCTATTTGTAAGATAGGTATCTGCTTCTACTAAGTTCATTGTGCTCGAAGAATTCAATGAGGTATTAGATATGAAAACCACTTTGGAAACTAAATTTAGAGTACTGGCCTCCTATAAGGCAGCAATAAGACTGAAGATAAATTAATGACCCAGTGTGGATATGCCATCATCTTGCTGCTCACACGGTACTTACATGTATTTTATGAGCCAGCTCTAGCATTCCAGATACATATTTTTTTCCCCAGCCATACTTAGGCTAAAAAGTACAATATATTAAAATGGTGTTGGAAATCTTATTAATCAGAGTTTTACAATATTGTTGAAGAAGAGAAAGAGGAAACAATTTCTGCAATCCTTCAAGAATATAGGTCTTCTAATTCCAAATGGATAAGGTCACAGAACTGGTCATCAATTTAATCAAGGTTTTCTATATCCAAATCTAAAAGAATTCATGTTACATTTAACTACTTTTTAAAATATATAATTTTAAATGAAAAACATGCAGTTGTAAACCTTTTATATGATGCCATTATTCATTTTCTTTTTCAGATAATACTAAATATACGTATACTCCAGGATGCCCAATTTTTTACTGCTTACAAGATATTATGCGAGTCTGTAGTGAATCCAGCACTCATTTTGCTACACTTACAGCAAGGATGTTAATAGCCTTGGATAAGTAAGAAATGCCACTAAAAATATTTTTTTAATAAATCAAATACAGGTTCATAGTAGAAATTAGCTCTGATAGAACAGAAGAAAATAATAAAATTAATAATATATATGTAACATAATGTTATGTTTTTGAAGTACGATATAAAAATGAAAAGCCCCAAAGATAAGATTGTCCTGGTTTGCTTGCAACAGCTAATCTTTTTTCAAAAATGACAAAGACTGCCCTGGATTAAGAATTAAGATTCCTAGGCGCCTGGGTGGCTCAGTCGTTAAGCGTCTGCCTTCGGCTCAGGTCATGATCCCAGGGTCCTGGGATTGAGTTCTGCATCAGGCTCCCTGCTCAGCAGGAAGCCTGCTTCTCCCTCTCCCACTCCCCCTGCTTGTGTTCCTGCTCTCGCTGTCAAATAAATAAAATCTTTAAAAAAAAAAAAAAGAATTAAGATTCCTTGTTATAAAACTAGATTTCGTTTTTGGGTTTTTTTTAAATTTTCAAGTTGAGTTACCACTGCCTTTATATCCTCTCCTACTTCGCACTAGTTCCCTTATTTCCATCCTTCCTCCACTATTTTAATAGAACTAATTATGTCTTTAAAAATAGTTAATCTTAGGAAACAAACTGAGGGTTGCTGGAGGGGTGGATGGGGTAACTGCGTGATGGACATTGGGGAGTGAATGTGTTGTAATGAGCACTGGGTATTATATAAGACTTATGAATCACAGACTTGTACCCCTGAAACAAATAATACACTATATGTTAATTTAAAAAATAGTTAAATATTGTGTAAGACTGACGAATCACAGACCTGTACCCCTGATACAAATAATACATTATATGTTAAAAAAAAAAAAAGAAGATAGTAGGAAGGGAAAAATGAAGGGGGTGGAAATCAGAGGGGGAGATGAACCATGAGAGACTATGGACTCTGAGAAATAAAATGAGGGTTTCAGAGGGGAGGGGGTGGGGGGATGGGTTAGCCCGGTGATGGGTATTAAGGAGGGCACGTATTGAATGGAGCACTAGTGTTATACGCAAACAGTGAATCATAATGATGTAATGTATGGTGACTAACATAACATAATAAAATAAAATTAAAAAAAAATAGTTAAGTAAGCGAATGACTAAAGTTCTCTTTCTGTTTTCCCTGATGCTGGGTCACACGGCTCCTCAAGTTCTGATAGATTTAGTATTGAGTTACTCTTAGCAGTGAACAAGTTGTTTAGCCTATCATGCCTTTGTCCTTCTGTAACTACAGAGCTAATGTCACCTCTGTCTCAGTGGTTCTAATTTTAAAAGTACTTCATGCTTTTTGAAAGGGGTTTTTTGAAAGGGGTTTATTATAATGGTATATGCATTTTAAAAATAGTTTGCTGTGTCTATTAACAAAACTTATTATTAGTAAATGAAGTACTTAATGAACACTAGTTAAAAATTTAAAAATCTGAATGTAATATTAGAACGTATCACATCTCAGAGTTTGATGGTCTTTTTTCATCTTCATATTTGAACAAATATTTCTGTGACCTCTTCTTTCTATTTTTCCAGGTGGTTAGATGAACGTCATGCACAATCTCACTTTATTCCAGCTTTATTCCGACCTTCTCCTCTTGAGCGGATAAAAACTAATGTCATAAACCCTGCATATGCAACTGAATCAGGTCAGACAGAAAACTCACTACATATGGGCTACAGTGCACTAGAAATAAAGAGTAAAATGTTAGCCCTAGAGAAGGCAGATACTTGTATTTACAACCCTTTGTTTGGATCAGATCTTCAATATACAAACCGGGTAAGAGTTGAATGAATTTTGGCTCTGATTTCAAAGACATTTTATCTGAAATATAATTTTTTTCTAAAGTAAATATACCTATTACTAATTGTAAATGTTAAGATGACATCTAGTTAGTTGTATTTATTTAGTTGTGTTTTATCAATGAAAGTCAAGTATCTAAGGCTCTTAAGGGGATTTTGTTTTTGTTTTTTCTATTTTCCCTTTTTAGGTAGATAAAGTGGTAATAAATCCATACTTTGGTCTAGGAGCTCCAGACTACTCAAAAATCCAAATTCCCAAACAGGAAAAATGGCAGAGAAGTATGAGCAGTGTCACAGAAGACAAGTACTGTTTTGGTTTTACTCCACATTGCTTTTTTAAAACTTATATTATAATGTTAAAATATTGTTTAAAATGATATATGTAGTTAGTATGCAATGTAACCACTGCATAAAAGATTTAGTTTGCAGCTGCTAAGTGATATATGGGTTTCATAGATATGTCATGTTTATTTTGAAACAATTTGAATTTCAACAGTGCTTTTTTAAAAAAAAAAATTATCTGTTTTTAATGATTAGGGAACGACAGTGGGTAGATGACTTTCCTCTCCATCGAAGTGCCTGTGAAGGAGATTCAGAATTACTAAACCGTCTTCTCAATGAAAGATTTTCTGTCAACCAATTAGATAGTGACCACTGGGCGCCCATTCATTATGCATGCTGGTAAATGGATTACTTTTTTTTTTTCTTAGAAGGAATGAATCCTTAGTTATAAATGTTAGTGCTTCTTTTCAGAACTGTTGTCATTCCAGCCACCTTTCTCTACTACATTTTGCCTTACGGGCTTTCTATTTAGATCTTTGATTACTGTTTATATGTACCACTGTTCAGAATTACAAGGTCTGCCCCATGGGAAAAGTATCATTATACAGCACTAGGTCCCTCATTCACCCTTGTAATTTCTATTGTTTTGTATTGGAGTTATATTAAGTTTGTTTACCCTGACTATAAAATTTATATGATGTAACTACTTATGATTTGACATTGATCATGTTAGAAAAATATTCATTTAGTTCTTGGGGAAGCTGTGGCATCAAGAAACTCCCAAAATCCTTCATTAGAATGAATGCCATTCTTTCTTTCTTTTTTTTTAAGATGAGAGGGATTAGCTCACAAGATTGGGGTTAGCTGTTTCCACTAGTTGCCCATCGTAGCTCTTGCTCTCCTACTCTTCCCACATGATAGTAACTCTTCCCCTCAGCTGATCTGAGTTCTTATATTTGTGTTCATAGCAGTAGTTAACTGTCAGCTATAGTTTATCCTCTAGAAGGGATGTAATGAAGTTATTTACCATTATTTCTTATGCAAAAGTTGCTTTTGACTTATTGTTTAAAGTGATCTTCCTTGGCTAGTTTAAGAAGTGCCTACATTATTCACTGCTTGTTAAATGTCTGTTACTTCTTAGCTTAGCAACATTTAGCAAGATACTTCACTTCTCTATATCTCAGTCTATCTATCCATATGTAAAGGCATTAATTAGATCATTGCTAGAGTTCTTTTCAGCTCAAAATTCTTTTAATTTCACTGATTCCAAAATTTGTGATCCTGTAGCTAAATATAGTTGCTTTTAATATCCATCTTTTCTCCCTTAAAAATATGCTGTTTCCCTAAAAATAGGCTCCTTTATTCAAGAAATATGCTCTTAATTTTTTCCTGTTTCCTTAAAAATAGGCTCCTTTATTCTGTATGTGTGTTCTTAGTTGTTTTCCTGTTAACGTGGAATTTTCTTCTCATATTTGGAGTTACCCTAAATCTTTTTAAACTGAACTTTATAGTTGTTTCTTCAGATTACTAGTAAATATTGGTAGCAGCAGTACTGAAAGAATCACATATCCTACCTGGAGCTAAACAAAAAGTAAACTGTGGAATTGGGAAGACAGAGGCAGAGAATTTTAGTTTAGGAATCCCAAATTTGTATTTGGTTAATATTGTCCCTTTTTTGTGGCATTGGTTATTTTCTAATAAAAGAATGGTAATACTTATATTTTAAGAATGGTAGTATTTTGGGGCGCCTGGGTGGCTCAGTCGTTAAGCGTCTGCCTTCGGCTCAGGTCATGATCCCAGAGTCCTGGGATCCAGCCCCACATTGGGCTCCCTGCTCGGTGAGAAGCCTGCTTCTCCCT